TTATAAGACGTCATCATAGGTAGAAGCTGACTGAAGGGTTCAAGGAACTCTATGTATTAGTTTTACAACTCCTTGTGAGTCTTGTACTATTATTTCTTTTAGAAAATATAAATATATTTATTTATTTGGCTGTGTCGGGTCTTAGTTGTGACTCATGGAATTGTCAATCTTCGTGTCAGCACGTGAGATCTTTAGTTGCAACATGGGGATCTAGTTCCCTGACCAGGGATCAAACCCCATTGCTTTCACTGGGGGTACAGAGTCTTAGCCACCGGATCACCAGGGAAGTCCCTTGTATTATTACTTCAAAGTAAAAAGTTCAAAAAAATTTGAAAATCAACACTCTAAGCTACCATCTCAAGAAGCTAGAACAAGAACAGCAAAGTAAAACCCAAAGAAAGTAGAAGGAAAGANAAAAAAAAAAAAATCTGCCTGCTGGTGTGGATTCAATTCCTGATCCAAGAAGATCCCACTTGCCGTGGAGCAACGAAGCCCTTGCACCATAACTATTGAGCCTGTGCTCTAGATCCCATGAGCTGCAACTACCGAAGGCCCACACCCTAGAGCCCGTGTTCTGCAACAAGAGAAGACACCACAGTGAGAAGCCTGTGCACCACAGCTAGAGGGTAGCCGCTGCTCAAGGAAACTAGAGAAAGCCCACACGCAGCAACGGAGATCCAGGATAGCCAAAAGATAAATAAATAAAAAATTTAAAGGAGAAAAACTCATAAGGGGAGAATAGATATTAGGTAGTCAACTAGCGCTGGCAACCGTATATTTAACATCTTCATGCTAAATCACTGCATATTCTTACCAGCCTCTCAATATGGCTAAGGGACAGTCCTTTTTATTTTTTTAAAATTTTTATTGGTGTATAGTTGCTTTACAGTGTGAGTGTCTGCCGAACAGCAAAGTATGTCAGTTATCTGTATACTTATATTCACACTTTTTAAGATTTCCTTCTAAGGGACAGTTAGGGACAGTTTAACTCAGTGTTTTGTGTTATTTGACTTATGTAAATATTACTCCATACTAACCTGTAATTTTACTACTTCTGAACTAGCCCCTCAAACCCCAAGCTCCTTAAAGGATATCAGCAAAGCATTTTTAAAGATCAGGTGAGGGAGGGATGTCCCAGAATCTGGGATCAGCTCATGCACAATTCTCTGATTGGTTAATGGTGGGATGATGTCACTGGGTGATGTCACAGGGGTGAACATTATCCGTCCTTAGGCTTCAGGAGGCTACGTGCTCATGGTTATCAAGAAGTTAACATCTTCTATTTGGTGGGAGTTTCCACCTCTGTAAAACAATTCAGGAAATTGGCATCTGATATTAATATTATTATCTAGCTACTTCAGAAAGGAGCTAAAGCAGAGAATATGGGGGAAGGGTTTGTCTCAAGAAGGCCCCACAGAGTCTTGCTTGGTAACAATTCAACTTCCTAAGAGATTTCTGTAACTTTATCTTCCAACACTTACGTTCAGTTTTAAAATTATTCCATCAAAACTTTAATTCCCCAAAGTAATTTATATTCTAATTTTTAAAAAATCAGTTATTGTTTCATAAATGCAATATCTTTTCTTATCTCTTTGAGTATGTTAAGTACAATTTAAACATTTTTTCTTTAGCTCTCTGCTTTGTCTCAATTTTCTTCAAAGGAAGGAAAATATCCTACCTACATGTCTGATGATCGTGAATTATTTATCTTTTTTTAAAAATGTTGTGGTGCATGGACTCAGTTGCTCTGTGGCATGTGGAATCCCCCTGGACCAGGGATCAAACCCGCATCCCCTGCATTGGCAGACAGATTCTTATTCACTGTACCACCAGGGAAGTCTCTGAGCTATTTACCTTTAACAGTGAGGTATTAAAAAGTTGTGGATGTGAGGTGTGACTTTTCAACTCAGAGGGCTTCCATGTTCGGTAGTAATCTACCAACCCTTTGTGTCAGACTCCCAAATTTGACTGCGTGCAGAGCTTTTTCAGAGCCCTTCTTCTCTAGAAAAGGACGCCAATTTCCTGCTGATGGTCCTCTGTACCAGTCTGGGACCAAGGGTGGGTTGGGTTAGGGATGGTTTCACAGTTTTTAGGTGGCCGTCTCTTATGTGGTTCCCTCCTTCTCAGAAGAGCTCCTCTTGCTCACCCTGTACTGGGCCTAGTTGCTCTGAATTTGGAATCTCTCTTGTTTAATGTCTTTGTCAAATATACTTCATGCTGCAAGTTGGAGCCAGAAGCGTCTTTGCTTTGATTGTGTGTGATAAGTGAGATTCCCTAAGATGTAAATACACAGACTCTCAACCAGGCTCTCTATTTTAAGCCCTGTGTGAAAGTCGCTCAGTGGGGTCCAACTTTTTGTGATCCCATGGAATAGACCACGGAATTCTCCAGACCAGAATACTGGAGTGGGTCAACGTTCCCTTCTCCAGAGGATATTCCCAACCCAGGGACTGAACCCAGGTCTTCCACATTGCAGGCAGATTCTTTACGACCTGAGCTACCAGGGATAAAGGGAACATGCTTTATCCCATCTTTTGCTATGTCTGATGCCCCTCATTCCTAACTCTATTAGTTTGCTAGGGCTGGTATAATAAATTACCCCAGGCTGGAGGGCTTGAACAACAGACATTTCTTTTCTCACATTTCTGGAGGCTGGAAGTCCAGGATCAAGGTGTTGGCAGGGTTGGTTTCCTCTGAGGTCTCTCTCCTTGGCTTGTAGGTGGCTGTCTCCTCCCTGTGTCTTCACGTGGTCTTCCCTTTGTGTGTCTGTGTCCTAATCTCTTCTTACAAAGATATCAGGTGTATTGGACTAGGGCTCACCCTAANGGGGTTGCAAAGAGTTGGACACAACTGAGTGACTTCAATTTCACTTCTTTACCGCTAGCTCCATCGTATTTCTCAGTTCTGCTAATAGCTTTACCTGATTTACAGCTTTTGAAACAGCCTGACATCTCTCTGCTGGGTTATCTGTTAGTAATTTGACAGCACCACCTCTCTTTTATGGTTTCCTTTGCACCACAGGGAAGAAACCTAGAATGACATTTCCAAGAATCTCTTTCTTACTATTTGCTCATGAGAGGTACCAACAAAGAATTCAGAAGATAAAAGAGAAATTGCTATCCTCTGTCAAGAATTATGGGCAGATGGGTGAGCAGACAGTAAACATGAAGTTCTCAGTATCTTCCTGGTGGAGACAATAAATCATTCCTCTTAATATTATGGGTAGATGAGCAAACTGCAGGTCCTCCCAGAGCTACTGAGCAGGGCTGGGAAGAGGGTGAAGTGGGCAAGGCAGGATTGTGTAAAGGCAGGACCAGATGTTTTCTGTTAAAATTTTTTTAATGAAGAAAAAGTAAATAAAAAAAAATTCCTTTGTGAAATTTTGACATTTTATTCATGATGGATTTTTTTTCTTGCATTGTTTGGCTTTTTAAAAAATATGGTAATAAAATATTCTTCATTTTGATAAATGAGTTGTGATGGTTAATTTTAAGTGGCAAGTTGACTGGGCTAAGAGCTGCCCAGGTAGCTGGTAAAACATGATTTCTGGGTGTGCCCATAATGATTAGCATTTGAATCAGTAGACTGAGTAAAGATCCACCTTATCAGGGCAGTTGGGCATCACCTGCTCCATCAAGAACCTGACTGGAACAAAAAGGCAGAAGAAGGGTAACCTGGATATTTTTTAGCTTGAGCCAGGCTCTTCATCGTCTCCTGCCCTTGAACATCAGCATCCTGTTTCTTGGGCCTTCAGATTTAGACTGGGAGTTAAACCATTGGCCCCTGAGATTCTCCAGCCTTTGGACTCAGACTGAATCATGCCACCAATTTTCCTGGTTCTCTGGCGCACAGACAGCAGATTGCAGGACTTTTCAGCCTCCGCAAACATGTCAAGCAAATGCTACAATAAATCTCCTTATATACACATATCTATTCTGTTGGTTCTGTTTCTCTGGAGACCCCCCCCCAATACATGAGTGTTTTGGTACCCTCTTAAAGTTGGTGTCCAAGGTGACTGTCTCACTAGTTTCATCCTATGCCCAGCCCTGCCCTTGGGATGCACAGAGCTGTCAGATTGCCCCAGAGATTCACTCACTCTTGTGCCAAGCGGTGAGATTGATGACAATGGCTTGCATGTCCTGTGTTCCCCAGCCGTGCATTGGTGGGGTAAGCACTACATTTCCACTTCCCAATCAAAACACTCAGAGTGGCTTCTGTTCTTCTGATGGGACTTTGATTTACAGTCTACCACTGTCTTGTTTTTTTTCTAGTTAGAGTATAATTGCATTACAATATTGCATTAGTTTCTGCTGTACAACAAAGTGAATAAGCTATATGTTTACATATCTTAACATATCTTAACCTCTCTTTTGTAGGTTTATATCTTTTTTATTTTTTTATTCCCTCTCTCTCCCCTCACCTCCCTCCACACACACACACACACACACAGACACACACACACACACAGACACACACGCACATATCCTACTTATTGGTTATGATTCTCTAGTATCCTAACTAATACAAAGCATTACTTGATAGCAACATGACTTATCTCTGAGTGGTGTTAACCTTCATCACTTGGTTTAGGAAGTGTCTGCCAGGTCTCTCCATCACAAATTTACTATTTCCCCCTTCCCACATTTTGTTCTTTGGAAGCAAGTCATTAAGTCTAGCCCACACTCAAGAAGTAAACGTGCTTAAAAAGAAACCTCATATCATTGCAGCAAGTAGAAAATCAGTGTTGCCACAAACAGAAAGTGAATGTAAAAACGAACAGAGGAAAACAAAACAATGTAATTGACATCTATCTAGACAAGTTTTCAGTTATCCAATCATAACAAATCACCCCACAACTTAATGGATTAAAACCACACTATTTTGCGTATGTATCTGTGGTCTGGGCAGGGCTTGGCAGGTAAGACTTGTCTTTGCTCCATGTGCATCACTGGGGTGGATGGACAGAAGGGTGGGGGACCCTTTTCTGAGGGCTCACTTACGTGGCTGGCAAATTAGTGCTGGTTGCCAGCTGGAGTTCAGTCAAGGCCCAGGGCTCAGGGTCTCAGGCGTGATCACTTTCCCTGAGACCCTGCCAGTATGGCCTGGGCTTCCTCACAGCATGGTGGTTGGGTTCCCAGGGTGAGCATTCTGAGAGAGAGAGAGACAAGTGGAAGGTATACAGCTTTTATGATATGGCCTCAGAGTCAGATAGTTTCACTTCTGCTGAATTCTATTAGTCAAGGCAGTCACAAAAGTCACCAAGTTTCAAAAGAGGGGGGAGGACGTAGATTCTACCCTTGATGGGGAATAGCAAGGTTCTGAAAGAGCATTTGGAATAAGAACCACAAACTACCCGAATTGTGCTGCCTGCTGAAGGCTCTCAACCTGTTTTAAAAGGGAGAGAAAGAAAGAGATTAGAAAATGGAGAATGGGTTTACAAAATGTACTAATACCACATGGAGACTTTTCCTTTCAAAAGGAAATGAATGACAGGAACATACTTTGCTTATCACGTATTTCTGAGTCAGTAGAGCTACCTTGAACTTGCATTTCCTTGACACGAAGACTTTTCATGTCTTTGTGTCATTACACATATGACCATGACCTTTTTTAATTAATAAAGATGTGTTTGAGTCTAGTTACAATGATTTAAAATTCACTGTCGAAAACCATAATTATGTTTGTTTTTGTTGTTCAGTCGCTGAGTCATGTCAGACTCTTTGCAACCCCATGGACTGCAGCATGCCAGGCTCCCCTGCCTCTCACTATCTCCTGGAGCTTGCTCAAACTCATGTCCGTTGAGTCGATGATGCCATGCAACCATCTCATCCTCTGTCACCCCCTTCTCCTCCTGCCCTCAATCTTTCCCAGCATCACAGTCTTTTCTAATGAATTGACTCTTCACCTGGGTGACCAAAGCTGGAGCTTCAGCTTCAGCATTGGTGCTTCCAATGAATATTCAGGGTTGATTTCCTTTAGGATTGACTGGTTTGATCTCCTTGCAGTCCAAGGGACTCTCTAGCATCTTCTGCAGCACGACAATTCAAAAGCATCAGTTCTTTGGTGCTCAGCCTTCTTCATGGTCCAGTTCTCACATCCATACATGATTATTGGAAAAACCATCACTTTGACTCTACAGACCTTTGCTGACAAAATGATGTCTCTGCTTTTTCATACACTTTCTAGGTTTGTCAGTTTTCCTTTCAAGGAGCAAGCATCTTTTGATTTCATGGCTGCAGTCACCACTTGCAGTGATTTTGGAGCCCAAGAAAATAAAATCTGCCACTGTTTCCATTTATTCCCCCATTTATTTGCCATGAAGTGATGGGACTGGATGCCATGATCTTAGTTTTTTGAATGTTGACTTTTAAGTCAGCTTTTTAACTCTCCTCTCTCACCTTCATCAAGAGGCTTTTCATTCCTCCTTACTTTCTGCCATTAGGGTGATATCATCTGTATATCTGAGGTTATTGATATTTCTCCTGTCAATCTTGATTCCAGCTTGTGCTTCAACCAGCCTGGCATTTCCCATGGTGTACTCTGCATATAAGTTAAATAAGCAGAGTGATGATATACAATCTTGACATATTCCTTTCCCAATTTTGAAGCAGTCCATTGTTCCATGTCCGGTTCTAACTGTTGCTTCTGACCTGCATGCACATCTATCAGGATGCAGGTAAGGTGGTCTGGTATTCCCATCTCTTTAAGATTTTTCCACAGTTTGTTGTGATCCACACAGTCAAAGGCTTTAGCATAGTCAATGAAGCAGAAGTAGATGTTGTTCTAGAATTCCCTGGCTTTTTCTATGATCCAGCAGATGTTGGCAATTTGACCCCTGGTTCCTCTGTCTTTTCTAAATCCAACTTGTACATTTGGAAGTTCTCAGTTCATGTACCATTGCATTCTATCTTGAAGGATTTCTGAGCATTACCTAGCTAGCACGTCAAATGAACACAATTGTATGGTAGTCTGAATATTCTTTGGCATTGCCCTTCTTTGGGATTGAAATGAGAACTGACCTTTTCCAGTCTTGTGGATATTGCTGAATTTTCCAGATTTGCTAACATATTGAGTGCAGCACTTTAAGAGCATCATCTTTTAGGATTTTAAATAGCTCAGCAGGAATTCCATCACTTCCACTAGCTTTGTTCATAGCAATGCACCAATCTAATACTTCACTCTGTATGACAATTTCTATACCTATCTGTGTCTCTGCAAATGGCATTATTTCATTCCTTTTTATGGCTAAGTAATATTCCATTATATATTTATATATACAGATATATATACATCACATATCACATATATACCACAGCTTCTTTATCCATTTCTCTGTCAATAGACATTTAGGTTACTTCCATGTCCTGGCTATTGTAAATACTGCTGCATGAACAATCAGGATGAATGCAACCTTCAAATTATGATTTTTCTCCAGATACATGTTTAGGAATGGGATTGCCGGGTCATATGGTAGCTCTATTTTTATTTTTTTAAGGAACCTGCATACTGTTATCCACAGTGAGTGTACCAATTTACATTCTCACCAACAGTAGCAATCCTTTTCACCACACCCTCCTCAGCCTTTTCTCTGTGACCTGTTTGGATTCCCAACTTCATTCACTACATTTTGAATTCCTAAAGCATAGGAGCCATGTGTTGCTTGTAACTGTAGGTTTTTGGCCATTTTTATTTCTGCTTGTAACACCCCATCTTCACACTATATTTCCTATCTGTCCAATTCCTATTCATCCTTAAAAACCCAGGTTGTGGACTTCCCTGGCAGTCCAGTGGTTATGGCTCCATGCTTCCAATGCAGGGGGTGCAGGTTGAATCCCTCGTTGGATAACTAAGACCCCACAGGCTGTGGGCATAACAACAAGAACAACAAACAACCCAGATTGACTAACACTTTCTATTGCAGTGTTTACTTTCTCCTCCCGATTGAATTATTAACTTCCTCTCTGAGCTTTTACAGGATTTCATTGGTATGTCCATGACAATGTCCAGGTGTTATAGTATAATTTATTGGATGGTATGTCAGTCTTTAAAGGCAGGGAATAAGTCAAATTATCTTTGCTTTAAGCCAGTTCCCCAGAACCAGAACAGGGATGAGAACTCACTTGTAAGGTTTTTGAGGAAGGGCTCTTACAAGAAACTCATAAGGTATGAGGGGATCAGGTCATGGAAAAGGAAGACAGTGAGCAAAGATGGGATTTGGAGCATGGTCTTGGAAAGGGTGGGCTTCCGGGTGGCTCAGTGGTAAAGAATCCACCTACCAATGCAGGAGATGCAGGTTGGATCCCTGAGTTGGGAAGATCTCTCGGAGGAGGAAATGACAACCCACTCTAGTATTGTTGCCTGGGTCAGCCAAATGGACAGAGGAGCCTTGTGTTCTACAGACAATGGAGTTGCAAAAATGTCAGAATTAGTGACTTTAAAAAAACAATCCTGCAGGGAACTGTGGGTGTAAGTTATGTCTCAGGATTTGTGATGATGAAGGCAGAAAAGCTGGCTTCCATTCTCCTGCACTCAACAGTCACTGGCTAAGGGCCATCCCCGCTCCAGGCACTTCCTCTCTCTATGCATGCAGATGGGGCAGTGACAGTAACCGAAGGCAGAGGTCAGAAGAGAGTCCCAGGTGCAGCCATTCGGAGCAGAGCCCACAGCTGGGGGACTGGCACACAGAAAGGGTCAAAGGATCCCATGCATCTTGGTGGGGCACTAATAGTGCCTGCCACAATCCTGGAGCTTAGTAAAAGTCCCGGCAAAGAAGGACTGGGGGCAGTGGAGTCCGTTGCCACACACCAGTGATAAGAGAGTCGCAAATGGAGGTTCCATGGTTCTGAGTCAAGAAAAAAAAAAAAGATTCTTAATATAATCCTTGTAAGACTATGCTAGGAAATTGGAAAACATGTGTGATTTTCTAGCAAAATAAAATGACTAAAATTAATTATTCAAGAGAAGAAAATTTAGACAGATCAATATTGTTGTTGAAGTATAGTTGATTTTACAATGCTATGTTAATTACCGCTGTACAGCCAGTCATTCAGTTATATGGATATATACATTCTTTTCAAAATATTCATTTTCAAATGGTTTATTATAGATATTGAATGTAGTTCTGTGTGCTTTACAGTATGATCTTGTTGTTTATCCATTCTATATATAAAAGCTTACATCTGCTAATTCCAATATCTCACTCCATCCTTCCCCAACCCCCTCACACTTAGCAACCATCAGTCTGTTCTCAATGTCTGTGATTCTGTTTCTGTTTAATAGATAGGTTTATTTGTATCATATTTTAGATTCCACTCATAAGTGATATCATACGGTATTTGTCTTTCTCTTTCTGCTTACTTCCCTTAGTGTGATAATATCTGGCTGCCTCCATGTTGCTGCAAATGGCATAGTTTTGTTCTTTTTTATGGGTGCGTATATATGCACCACATCTTTTTTATCCATTCATCTACACAGGCCAATATTAATGGATGGAAACTATGAACTATTTCAAAGAACTCTCCGCCCTACTAGATACAGAGAGTAAATAGGAGAATTCTTAAGACCTTTGAAAACAAACACATCATTTAAATTGTTTCAGAGCCTAAGGAAAGTAAAGATGCTTCACGGTTTTTTTTCTTTTTTCTTTTTTTAAGCTGGTAAAGATGAAACCTGACCAGGATGGTCTGCACACACACATAGACAGACTGCAGGCTGGCTTTCTTACAAAAATAGATTTAAAATTCTATGTAAAATAGTAGCAAATAGATAAAGCAAGATATTTAATGCTGTCGGCAAGACACACCATGGGTAGGTTACAGTGGACATCTGTCGCTTTTGCTGCCTAGCTTTGAGTAGTCCTCCTTTTGGAGGAGATCTCTAGATGAACAGAAGGCAGCTCTTTATCCCACTATGGAAGCTGTGGGAAGATATGGTCCTCTTCCTAATTCACAGCAGCTAGTAATCAGACCTAGGATTTAACCCAACCAAATGATGCTTTCACTTCAGGCTTAGAATTTTCAAGATACGATAGCAAAAGTTGAAGACAATCAGAAATTATTCAGGATTATTTGTATCTGGTATAGCAGAACCAGGGTTTCCCAGGTGGCTCAGAGGGTAAAGACTCCACCTGCCAATTCAGGAGACTCGAGAGATGCAGTTTCAATCCCTGGGTTGGGAAGATCCCCCGGAGGAAGGCATAGCAACCCACTCCAATATTCTTGCCTGGGAATTCCCATGGACAGGGGAGACTAGCGGGCTACAGCTCATGGAGTCGCAGTGTCTGACCCAACTGAGCACACACGCCCACAGCAGAGCCCAGGGTCCAAAAGTGTAGCTGCCACTGNGGGCTACAGCTCATGGAGTCGCAGTGTCTGACCCAACTGAGCACACACGCCCACAGCAGAGCCCAGGGTCCAAAAGTGTAGCTGCCACTGTCCAACGGCGGTGCAAGCTTTGGTGGCAGGAGTGTGTTCAGCCTCACCAGTGGTGCCAACAGTGATATGTAAGATGTTTAAGGCAGCATTTTCTGCTGCAGGGTCCTACATACTGTTTTCCTTGGTTTCCCAGGTTTGATTCTGAACCTCTTTCGATAGTTCTGTGAG